TTCGCAATCGCATTCCATTTCCATTTGCTAGATATGAGATGCGAGTACGGGTACGAGAGTATATGCACATATATATGCGAAAAACTAATTAAATCAAAGCAATTGCTGCAAAACGTACTACAGTTTAATTAAGGCACAACAAATTGTGGCACAGTGGCAGAGCAGTAACTGAAACAGAAACAGAAACAAGCCTCGACAAGCGCTAAATATTTCCTGCTGAGACGGAGACGGACACGGACACGGACACCACCATCTGTGGGCATCTGTGGGCATCGCATCTGGCTTTTGGACCCGCGTGGGGCAGACTTAGAGATTGGTCCCATCAGCTGATGCCCCATGCAACAGCAGCCGCTGATGCCGCTGATGCCTTTGATGATGATTGACGGGCGTTGCAATCGCGTTCGCTGCTGCTGTTGCTGCTGTTGCTGCTCGGGGATTGGGGTTTTACTTGACTCGAGAAGGCGGCATTTGCCTTTCCTCTGCTGCTCTACCTCTGCCTCTAATCGCATAATCTTCGCAAAGACGCAACGACGTGGCGGCGTCAATTGCTTTGCACTTGCTCCAGAGACCCAAATACTTGTACTTGCTGTCATTTGCTGATGCACATTTAAGCTGTAGCTAGTATCATGCTACAGCTACCCATCCAAGTGGCAGGGTCCAAGGGGGTGAGTGAACAGCCAAGCTAGAGAGACGAGACAGGGGGGATTGGGTGGGAATGCCTGCTGTCTGGCTGCCCTGCCCGGCCCCTGCTGGGGCAATTACCTTGAAGCTAGTTTTTAATCAAATTTTAACATGTTTTTACCCCCAATTTCCTTTTTGGTCTGCCTCCTTTTGTGCTGCCCCCCTGTTGTCCTTCTCCTTCCGCCTCCTTCTGCCTGTGATAATTGTGGGCAACAGCACAAAAGTTAGCTCCATGCCACACACATGTCTGCTGTTCTGCCTAATTTTTGATACCCCCTTTTTTATGGTTTGCCACTGCACAGAGTCCTTCGGTTTCTATGGCAATTATTTTTCTGCATTCACAAAAGTGGAGTCCAAAGGAAAGGGGCATCTATTCTTCTATTAAATACCAGCTGCTGAATGTCAGATCCATCGCATAAATCTGTCTATCCACTGACTCATATATGAATGAATCTTTAGCGACTCGTGGCTAGAGATTGAGGGGCTGAAGACATTAAACATTCCACATTCTAGCTCTGATTAATGTCATCTGGATAAATACTCATCAAATAAAGATATTCCCAATTCTTCCTCCACCTTCCCCAATGATCCTTCTTCTGCTGATTTATTACAGGATATCCGCTGCTTCGTCATACATATGTTGTGCTCCATTCCATTCCCCATTTTGATTATTTGTTTTATTTTCTGTTCTGATTTGCTCTTCTGTTTGTTGCTTCTTTTTTTTTATGTGTGTGGTGTTTTGTGATAGTTTTAGGGCTTGCCACGCCCGGGGGGCAAGTGCCGTGCCCTGTGCCTGTGCCGTGCCTTATGGCCACAAATTGTGTGTGGCAGGCAGAGTCGTGTCGCCTCCCACTTCTACATATTCTCTCGCTCTCTCTGATGTGTGTGTGTGTGGGCGATCGATTTAACGAGAATTTTTCGCTCGTCTGCGATTTTCGAAAATTGATGAAAATAAATTGCCAGAAGCATGCCTCCCGCCCCCCCTTCCCGAACCATCAAAAAAGCCAGCACATGTGTGCAACAGAATTTACGAGTCGCAAAGGAGGAGGGAGCCGTCTTGCCACTGTAATTTGTGTCTCTACAGGAAATGGAGTTCAGACTCAAAGAACAAAACCAAAAAAGACACAAAAGAAAATTTCGATGATTTCTTGTCCAGTTTTTTTTTGGAGGGTTCAATGGACGGACGGGTGCCACACGGGTAGGATCGCGAGGTGCGACCTTGATGAGTGCCTGCTTTTGTGCTTGTCAACGCTGACCCATTTTCATGCTGCCCCCTGCCACCCCAGCACTGTGCAACAAGTTTCGAGGCATACAAATAATTCGTTTTGCTCATAAATCTGGCAGATGCCTCATTCGGTGTGTGGCAAAAATGGGTTCAAGGACACGCGCGCAGTGGCGCAGTGGCACCGTGGGCTGGCGTGTTGTCATCTAATTGGATCGCAGCATCGCCACAGAAATACAAATACAAATCTTTCACTCTGCTGCCCCATTTGTCTGTCTGTCTGTCTCAGTTGCAAATTGTAAATATTTTCTGTTTCTGCTTCAGCTTCTGTTTGTTTGTTCTACGGTGCGTATGCGTAATAATTCATTGCGTGCGGCACTGCGGCCTCCTCTTGAGAGCAGACTCAGCTGAAGATTCAGTTGCAGTTTCAGATCCATTTGGCCGCGTGGGCGGTACAGTTTGAGAGACACAAAACGGGCATGCGGTTCGTGTGCATTAGCGGTCTGAGGGTGGCGGGGTTGCGGGGTGACGGTTGGGGTTGTATTCTCCTGTGCAATAATCACAATAAACGCTAGACTCCGTACTGAATCTGTGTCAAGCATTCCATTCCACACGGCCACCCGCACCCCTCAACTTATGCTCATGCCCACCCCTCCCATTGTGGCATGGAATTTGACCAATTATTCATTCATACAGCAATGCAGATGGTGGACCGATTGTTGACTCGAAAATTCAGTGCAAAAACGATTGTGTGTGTGTGATTCATGTGCCTTTTGGTGGCCAAAGGATGAGGCTTTGTGGCACAGATACCAAGTGAAAGGGGAGACAGGCAATAAGTAGCGAAATCTTTGGCAAACAAAATTTGAATTTACTTTAAATCTCAATTGACTTTCCGGGCTTTGAGTGAATTTTTCAAGCCGTAAAATCGGCTACGAATCGCTCTTTAAGTGGCCATCGATGTGGCCACAATATTATTATTATTATTATGTGTAACACACACCCAAAGACTGTGTGAGAGAGAGAGGCAAAGCAAAACTCGCAAACTCGCAAAAAAAAAAATTCACAAAGTTGTATTGTGGCACGTGACTATGCTGAGCAGAAAAGGCCCATTCAGTGTGCAGACGCCCTGCCAGACAATGCTGCCTCTGCCACCAAATGTGGCAGACAAAACAGCAACAGCAGAAATCAAAACCAAAACCAAAACAACAATGCCCCCGCAGTCACCCGCAGTGAAGTTTGTTCAACTTTGATTCCCTCGCAGAGAGTGAGAAATGTAAGCGGAAAAGATATTCTGAAATAAAGAGAAACTCCTTGGTTTGAGGGGCTGCTCTGGTGACACTTTTTCGCCGATATACTGGATGCCCACAGCACTTTTCTTCATGCCTATAATACTACTGGTATATGGAGGTATTTAATGACCTTCTGCTTGATGGCAGTGATAATATCTATGCTGCTTTCAGTCCAGCAATACGAGCAAGAGACATCTGTTCTATATGTATATTTTAGGTAGATATTTTCCATCATCTTCTTTGGCGGGCGGCGCCACTGTAAAGTAAATATATTTCCCAGCCAGGCTCTCTCGCTCTCTCGCTCGCTGACTCTCTCGCTCTCTCCCAGTGTTGATTGGCAGTTAGATCCGAAATGTTGGGACATACACAAAGCAGGAAAGCAGAGCATTCCAAGTCCATGAATTTTATGTGATTCTGTAACTAAAAATGTCTCTTTCCCTTTTTCCCTTGGGAATGTCTAATAAATCGTTCAGAAATTAATGAACATTGGTATTTAATTACTGCTTTCTCTCTCTCTCTCTCACTGTCTCTCTTTGTACCTGTATCTGCCCTCTCTTGTTCTTTCTCTCTTGTCATGTCTCTTCCATTATCTTTCTAGTTTATCAAAGCATATTCGATAAGGGGATAAGTAAAAGGTGCTTGTCCCATGCCCATTTGCCCCACATTCCAACATTTCCCACCCGCCACATACATATGTATGCTGAGTGGCAGCAGCGTGGGGGGAATGCAACATGGTAGGAAGTGTCGGAAGAGTGGGGGTGGAATGAACAAGAGGGGAAAGGGTAATAGGAAGAGCATCGAACATCAATTTCATGGATAGATACGATCGCGGGAGTGCGGAGCGGTTATTGTTGGGGCACGCACACACACACACACACATGTTGCACATGTGGCAAGGGCTGAACTTATCAGCCACACTACGCGTCATACGTAAACCGACAACAAAAATACTCCAAAAGTGGAGTAAGCGATTATCAAAAATAAAATAATAGAAAATAAAAGCAAAGAAATTGACACTTGAAATCAATTCTCAATTAGACAAAAAAAACAAAAGAACTGCATTCGAGGGTCAAGGCATTTGATACCCTGGAACATTTTGGAACATTCTGAGCTGTTCGGGAATTCTTATAAGTAAATTAATATTACTTGAGCACAAAGAATGGAAAATCTAAGGGAAAAATCTGCATAGAATCCATCTTCATGGAGGCCCGGAGGGAGGAGCTTATCGTGTGAAGTGTGTGAGCTCATGGCGAGGGGGCAAGCACCTGTTGCGATGCACTGTCCATAACATAAACACTTCACTCGTCAACAGAAGACTAACAGCTGCTGTGGGCTAACAGAAACTCTGTTAACGTCCCATGTTAAATGGGTCGCTGTTGTAAGTTTTTCAGTGTGGTGAGAAGCTGTCTAGTGACACAGTCACCCTAAAACTGCCTGTGGAATGAATGTCTCAAGCTGTTGGGCATGGCATTTATGGTGTGGATGTCACCGGAAAACTATTTAGATAATTTTCTGTTCTACTATCACGCTCAAACACTGTAACACTGTTAATGGTGGTGGTAGTGTGTCAATCTCAAACTGTAGTCACTCGAGAACTGTAAAGAGCAGGGTGGCTGGTTCCGTGTCCGTGCTTAGCGGTGACCACAACCAAACGAAGCTCTGGGGCTTTCATTTGGTGAAAGCATCAAATGAAATGCCGAAAAGAAAGAAGCAAACCCGGTTCTCTCTCTCTCTCTCGCATCTCCCTTTTAAAATATTTTCTAGAAGATAATTTAACATTTTTCCTTTCTCTTTGTTTCCCTGCACAGCAAGTCTCGAACTTTGACGATGACCTGGACTTTATCCTTGCCGACGACGTGTCCCTGCAGCCCAACGGCAAGGTGGCACTCCATCGAGGCGTCGGCGACGCTCTGCTGGACGGTGACGACGATGACGATGAGGGCTACCTCACCGACGATGACCTGCCCCTCGCCGAGGCCCAGCAGGCAGCGGACGGGGATGAGGAGCTGGGGCAGGGCAACTGGTTCAGCCAGGGCGTGCACCGTGTGCGCCGCTCTCTCTCCCGCATCTTCGGGGGGGATGCTGCTTCTGGCACCGAAAAGATCCGCAATCGTCGCGGGATCATTGAGCGGCAGAAGGAGCGTCGCCGCAGGGCCAAGGAGGAGCGGGTGCGATCGAAGCTCGACCAGAAGCACCGCCTCCAGGAGCAGCAGCAGCGCCAGAAGTTGCTGCTGAAGCAAATGCCACAGCAGCTGCACAATCGTGCCACCGATCCCCGGAAGCGCGCCTCCGAGGCGTACGACGAAACGGAAGGCAGCTCCCCCGATATCGATGAGGAGACGAGTTTCTGTAAGTCCACACAGATCAACCGAAGATCAACCGACTCACATTTTGATCCTTGATTCTGTTTGCAGATCGCACATACTTCACCATTGCCGAGCCCTACACGGACGAGTTCGCGGATAGGAACAGCGAGGCCTTCCTCAATCTGCAGAAGCTGCTCGAGGAGGAGATACGCAAGTTCTTTGACACCACCGTCGACGATGATGAGCTGGAAATACGCAGCACCCTGCTGCGCGTTGAGTGAGTTCATCCATTTATCCCTCGTTACATGTCCTTGAATCCTTGTGTCACCTCTTCCCTGCACAGTCAAACGGATGATGCCTTCAAGGTGAATGTGATGCTCCAGCTGGAGCTGCCCAATCGCATAACAGAGTTCGAGGAGCAACTGCGCGCACAGTTGACCACCTACAGCCGACTGGGACGATTGGGTGCCTTTGCGGATGATATCTTCTCCTTCGAGAAGGTTCACGGTAAGTCTCTCCCTCTGTGTGTGTTTGTCCTCAGTGTCCTTCAGTCTTTTTCTGCCGCCGCTGCCGCTGCCTGCTGCTGCTGCTGCTGCTACTTCCTCCTGCTGTCAATCATCCACCCCGTTCAATCCTGAATTCTGTATGTAGAAACCCAGTGGCAGGCAGCAGCTGACACCCCATCATCAACAACGACACTATCACCAGCGCCGCCGATGGAAACGCCAGCATCTCCGCCAGCCTTCAAGGCGGGCTGTGATGGTCCGGACTTTTACTGCGCCAATGGCCAGAGGATCCATTGCTATGACCTGTGCAACGGCAGACAGGACTGTGAGGATAACTCAGACGAATGGGAGGACACCTGCAGCAGATTCTACAACGGTGTGGAGATCTACAGTCTCTACAGTCTGCGACTAACGTGGCACTAACCCCCTGCCCCATACTCGTGTGTGTCCTCTCATTGTTTCTGTGACTCCATGGGAGGAGTCTTGCCATTACTTCCACTTGCCTTGCCGCTTTCGCTTCCGCTTCCACTCTATTGTGATTGTCTTTGTCTACGCTTCCGTCTGATATTTGATATGCTCCATCGATTGCTAATTCCATTTGTGACTTCCAAACAAAAAACAGAGCTCAGCGATCCCAACGGTCCCAACGAGGATCCAGTTCCCCATGATCCTACTGGCAGGCCAGAGTCCGATGTCGAGGGTTCCGGCCACAACAGCTGGCCCTCTGGCGCTGACAATGTTTTGGGCTGTCGCGGCGATGCCACCTTCCTCTGCCACATCAGCGGTAACACCATCTGCGACGAGATGCGATGCGACGGCGTCTTCAATTGCCAGAACGGCGAGGATGAGGAGGATTGTTACACCCCGACCAGCGTCGGTACCGGTCCTGGCCTGGGTAAATGTCAAAGGATTTCCTTCACTACCAAGCGATCGTCATCGAATCAAATTCGAATCAAAACGTATTGCTACGCATCTCTAATCCCGCATAGATCCGTTGTCATCGCATACTAAAACTCTAGATAGTCGTAGAATCGGCCAATCTTCCATTCCCCCCCTACCCACCACCCCATCCATCACCAAATCAGCGATTGACGATCGATAATCGACTATAATAGCTGATTCTAATCGATAAACTAGTTCCTATTGTTATCGAATAATCAAAGCTGATTGTTATCGATTATTAAACGCGATTCTTACTTGTCTAAAATCGATTAATGATGACTCATTATTTTTCGTTAATTGTTATCGATTAAATAACACATATTGATAATTATTATCGATAATTTATCGCAGATTATTGAACAGCAATCGTTGATCGATTCTGATATTGATTGTCGATTGCCTATCGCCGGTCGCTGACGTTCATTCGATTCGTTCATTTCTCATTCCATTAATTTTGTTGCTTTACTGATTGCTTTTGTTTTAATTTGAACAATTTCCTTTTTGATTTGCGCTTCTTTCGTGTGCTTTAGTTTGCACTGAAGATCAGTTCAAATGCGACTCCACCTGCCTGCCCCTCTCATACCGCTGCAATGGGCGTATCGAGTGCCAGGATGAGACCGACGAAGCAGGCTGCCAGCCGCCGCCGTATAACAGCGGAGACCGTGCATCCGAGGCACCCGTTGATCGTGATCCAGAAGATTTAAGTTCCGAGAATGGCGACACCGTACCCGAACCAGAGCGAGAACCAGAGCGAGAGCCAGAGCGAGACCCAGAGCGAGAGCCAGAGCGAGAGCCAGAGCGAGAGGAAACTCCAGAGGAAACTCCAGAGCCAGATACAGGTGGAAATGAAGTGTGGTCTCCGGGTGAGTGGATGTTTTATTTGATTTGATCATTTGATTATTGTGACTTACATTTGCCAAAAGTATATTTCATTTCGATTTTTTGCCATTAAGTGATCCGTTCTCATTAAGTTTTTAAGTTCTATTCCCCATCCCCACGAATGTGCGCGATCTCCGACGACTATTCTACTATTCGTGGCGGGGCGGGGCGGTGCCGGCTACCCGCTGATCTCATTCGCGAATCGCGGAAAACCATTCGAACGAATAAGTAATACGCATGGCATTATTATGCTCTGTAAAATGGCAAAAATAAATTCCAAAATTTAATTGGCCCGATAAACGGAATATTTCCATTGAGTGGAAATAGTTTTTGGCTTCTCCTTCTCCTTATACTTCTCATTCTTCCATTTGCTTTCAACTTGAATTAAGTTTTGCCATCATCGAGAATTGGGTTGAATATTCGTAAATATTTTCGGGTGATTTTCTAATGGATTTCCAGTGGCAGCCACTGGCAATGGCACTGCCAGGGGAGGAATATTCTGCCGCATGCCAAATTCCAGCTTTTGAGATTGCAATGAATATATATATATATGTATATGTGTATGCATATTTTATGTTTGCATACATACCATTTTTTTTCTCTGTTAATTACCTCAAATTCTTGTATTGCATGTGAGTATTATATTTCAAGGAAAATCATGGCATTTTCCTTTAAATCAAACCGTAAAAATGATGCATCTCTCATCCATTTCGAATTGGGGAAATTCCCTTAAATAAGTGAGAGGTGGGAATGCTCTTTGCAACTGCAATTCCATGCCACACACGTCGTGTATTTTGTTACACAATTTGCAGTCTCGGCCCCGAGCCTAAGAGCAATGCAAATAACTTGATGAGTTAATTACAAATAATTTGAATGAATTGGCAGGCAAAGCCAGCAACTAAAGCAAGTGGCTAAATTCTGAATAAATTCGAGTCATTCAGTCACTCGATTCATTTACGAACATTTTCTTGAGACCCTTAAATAACCCTATAGTACCCATTAAAGAATGAATTACTCCGAGTGGATGGAAAATATTCACGTTCCTATTGATATTTATTCCATCATTGCTTAAACTCCAACTTATATGGTAAGTGTCTAAAGATGTGAATGCTTTCGGAAGTGATTGCTGGTTGTTGTGGTTTTTTTTCGTGTTGTATTACATGTGTTTTGTCTTTTAATTTGCTTGCACATTTTCGTGGATATCAAATCACACTTTTTTGGCTAGCGTGTATAGTATTCCCTTCCATCGTTAAGCTGCAGCCATTCGCCTGCCATTTATGAGTCCAGTGTACTCACAGTCCTCCCATTTGACCCTGAACAATTCGCATGCGGGGAAGCTAGCTGAGCTGGCTGTGTGAATTGCAGCTGAAAAATAGAAGCAGAAACAGCAAACAGCAGGCAAACAGCCAGAAACAAGTGCTTTAACCGAAAAAAAAAAGTGAAATTACAAACCAACTTTCCCCCCAGCCCCCACCCTCAGCAGCAACAGCAACCGCAACCGCAATTCCTACAGACACATTTCCCAATCTCCCGCTTCAGATTACAATATTGTATCTATGAAATATGCCACAAAAGTACAGAGAGAACGCCACAAAAAAAAAAAGGCAACCAGAATATGTTTTATAGATGGTGATTTGGTGTCCTGACAGCAGAGAGTTCTTGTGGCGTGTGTTGGTGTTCCTGCAACATAGCAAAAACAATTTGCAACAGATTAAAATTACCCCTAAGCGTATTATAAACTTAAATAATCCGCTTGCAGCAGTGCCACACGCAACACAACACAACAAACAGCATCTCCTCCTCCTCCTCCAGGAGCAAGAGCAGCAGCATCCCCTTGCCAGAGAGTCGAGTCCTTATTCCCCGTTCGGGGTCTCTCTCCTGCTTCAGCTTCAGCTTCAGCTGCCTTCTGCTTTTACTACTTGGGGGCGTGTTAAGTGCTGTCAACGAGATTAAATGCAATGTCAGAGGTCGCCCCCTCCCCTTACACACACACACACACACACAGATAGCCCGAAAAAAGGAATCCGCCCAAAGTTGTGTCCTTGGAAATTTAATGAATTTTCAACACTCACTCTCGCTCCGGCTCTCCTCCAATGGCCACGACTGGGAGATGATGCTGAAAGGAAGCGGAGAGTTTTTAGGAGACACAAAATTAGTTGGTTTTAGAACCACAGAGAATCTCTTGGGGATTCAGGGATGATACGGATCCAACCTCTAGCTTCTGGGAGCCAAAACGCTGCAAGTATTTATTGGAGAACGTATTCCTACAAGAAGATTATGGGATTCAATATACAAATACGATTTTGTTTGGTATTTCTTTTAAGTCTGGCAAGGGTTTTTGCTGCCATCAAATTGTATTCCTTAGTTCACATTTTTCCCCAAGAAATTTAATTTATTGGCAGTGGAAATCTACAAAATGCTGGACATAATTTTGTTAGATAAATATTCACAATAATATTGTGATTTTAATGGAAATTAAATGTTGTGAAATATTTAAGACTTTATGTATTTTGGAGATCGTCAATGAAGTTTGTCTTCAGCATTGATCTTAGTTGATGTTCCGCATCTCCCTGGAATGAACATCAACTGATGGCGGGAAGGGAAAGACTTGTACCCTAGAGTGGATGGATGTGGATGGTGGATGAATGGGATGGTTCATACCTGTGTGACATTGGATTTATAACACGTGGGTGCATGACATTTGGGTTAATGAATATTCTTATTTCAGACCCTGGTCTGGCCTGGTCTGGTCTTTCTTTCTTTCTTTCTGCTGCCGTCTCGTGTTTTAGAGCTCTCTTCGTGCTGGCTCGCTCTGTGGCTTGTGCGGTTCTGCAACGATACTCTTACGATACGATACGATATGTGTGTGGATGCAACACGAGAGCATTACGATATAAGCGTACTCGTCTAGGAAAGGAGTGCCTGCTCGTTCCGTTTGTTGTCGCTCACTGAAATTTGAAACTTTTGCAATGTTTTTATGATTGTTATTGTTATTGTTATTGTTGGTTTGCTGTTGTTGTTGTTTTTCGGTTCGGTTTCTGGTTCTCGTACTCGTTCTCGTTCGCGTTCTGTGTTTCTGTTTCTGTTTCGAAAGTGCGTCAATGGATTGGATGCTGTGCACAGCTTGCACTTGAAGCCGCTTGTAAATTGTGTGTCTGCTCCACTCTCCAGCTCCACTCTTGTATGATTATGCAAACAACAAAACTCTTGCTTGCCACCAACAAAATTGTACAGGGGGCAGGGGTGGAGCAGGGGAGTAGCAGGGGAGGAGCTGTAATGTAATTACATTTGGGAGTCGACTCTCCATCGCATATGTGTTGCCCATTTTGTAATTTGGTATTCAAAGTTATATTTATGGCGCTTTTTCTATCTTCTATCTATTGCTCGCCCGCCCGCCCGCTCGCTCGCTCTATGTTTTCGGTGGGTTTCTGCGGTCGCATTGAGTTGCTTGATTAAATTTTTGCCCAAAAAGACACACTTGGACTTGCCAGCAGCCAGCTCTGCAGCAGCAGCGCACCTCTGCAGCAGCAGCGCACCTCTGACTGAGTCCATGCCACACCACCCACAGGTGGGTCGAGTCAATTAGCAACTGCATCGCCGCCGCGGCTGGGCTCTTGTGTTAAATGGCTGCAGATTTCAATGCTCCGACAACGAAACGAAACGAAACGAAAGTGCCAAATGCTCGCCACATGGCGGAGTGCAGTGCGAGTGGCTCGTATGCAAATTGAATTTGCCAGCCAGGCAGTCAGCCAGCCAGCCAGCCAGCAAGCCAGCCAACGCTTTTCGCTTTCCTTTTCCTCTCTTCGTTTTTTGTCAGTCCAGTCCAGTTTAGCTTAGTTTAGTTTTCTTTTCGCCTGCGCTTCTCTTCTCGACTCAACGACAAAAAAGGGCGAAAATTAAGCGGGGAAAACAAGACAGGGGAAAACAAAAGGAGTCAAAATATAGAATAAAAATGCACTCGAAAGTGGGGCGAATGGACCACAGGGATACCTTCGAAACTTGCAACAGAATTTGCAACGTGCAAGGAGCATTCGCCAGAAGGGAGGACTATGATTACTTGACATTGTGTATCGATTATATTGGCAGTTCTATCGGTATTCAGTGGAATCCCCGAATTATTCACTTGACTGCCTGCCTGTCTGCTGAACGACAAAGCTAACCCCCCATCGGGCATACCTTACGGGCCGCTTTGTTGTGGCGCGGAAGCTGATGAAATCATAAAAAATCACAAAAGCAAACAATGGGCTACCACACCCCACCCACCCACTGTAACTGTACCATCACCACCCATGGGGCTGTGCATGTCTGATGAGCTTTTCCATGTGTGTGTGTGTGTGGTGGGTAAGAAAAAAAGTGAAAATCTCTGGCCGCGACTTCCGTTGACGTTGCTGCTACTGCTGCTTCTGCTGCTTCCTTCTAGAAAGTGTGTTTGGGTGTGAGCTAACTGCTTTATGAGCGAATGAATCATGAAGTAAGCAGTGCAAAGCAGAGCAGTATAGTTCTGGAAAGCAGAGCAAAGCAGAGCAGTATAGTTCTGGATGGTCCGGAGGGAGGGGGCGGATCAAAACCCTCCACGCAGGCGTAACAAATGGAAATCAGTAAGAAGAGGCCCTGCAACATGCTGCATGCAGCATCGCATTGAATGCCCTGGCAGCACTTTCCGAGGCACGAACCTTTTGCAACATGTGGCCACCGACGGGGGCCAAGACCCCACCTGGTTGGCTGTGGTCCCTCGTGTGCCTCGTGTGCCTCGTGTGCCTCGTGTGCCGATTGCCGACTGCCGATTGTCCCAGCCCGAAGCTCCGTTTCATACCAAACGGCGTCATTGTCGTGTCGGAAGAAGGGAGGGTGCTTGGGGGCTCCGAGAGGGCTTCGGGTGGGTGTCGTTCGTTCGGCTATGTTGCCGTCGTCGTCGTTGTTGTCGTTGTCATCGTCGTCATCGCGTTGGCGCCTGCTCAACGCTGCTCGAGCGTTTTGGGGCCGCGCGCTGCAGCGCTGCGGAGCTTGCGCCCGCTGGGGCTCGTCGCGGCAGCGTCAGTTCAACGTGAAGCGTTTGCGTGTGCGTTACGTTGGCGCGTGTTTCAGCATCAGGCTTCCAGCTTCCTCCAGCTCTCGGCATCCACACACAGTCTACATTCTACACAGTCTACACAGTTCACACAGTCCTGTGACTGCAGTTTTCATATCTCAAACAATTTTCCAATTCGATTTTTTTTGTAAGCCAAAGTAAACCGTTCAAAAGTGCCGCGAGTACACACGTACCTTAATTTTGTTCTAATTTTTTTTTAATTGTGTTAAAAATTAAACAAAAAACAGATACCAGAAAACAACAACAACAACAAAAATATATTTGTGCAGCTTTTGGAGAGCTTTTCTGTGTGGCAGGATCAGTTGGCAGGCCACGAACGTATCCTTAGATCCTAAATGTTGTGAAATTTTGAGGGAAAACTGTTTGCTTTTTTGTGGCTTAAGTCTTTTTTTTATTATGGCTGAATCTGTTCCGTTCAGATTAGCGATGTGCGTTGTGGGGAGCGTGTGGATTTGCTTATCTTATTTTTTGCATATGCAGATTGTGCAGATTGTGTCCCTGCCGAGCAGTTGATATTTTTTGTTCTGTGAATGCGATTTTGTGGATTCCCCCGGAAAACCATTCACGGCAATGCCAGAGTGCCAGATGTATGTCTCAAAATTCTCAAAAATTAATGAAAATATAAAGCTTGGAATGAGCAGCTTGTAACAACACTCCTGTCTGTTTATTGCTTTGTGTGTGTGTTTGAAATCAATTTGAGGAGCAGTCCATAAAGAATAGAATCCCATAAAATCCCAAAAATCCCATAAATTCAAAACTACCTCCAGATTTTCCCTTTGCTTTGATTATTTTCACTAAGTGAAACTGGCTTTAATGTTCCGAAAGAACTCTTAACGCCTTTCGCCTCTACTGCCGTGCTCCATGGCAAACTCAGTACCGCATCTTGTTTTTCAGTTGTTTTCTGTCAGCTTCAGTTTCAGTTTCTTTCCTTTGAAATCTTGTGTAGGCGAAGGCGCTCCTCGCCACCGAAAACTCGTAAGTGATATCTTGCAGCTGCTTCCTGCAGCAGTTTCATTTGAAAAATGCGAATCCCTTGGAATAGTGCCGTAGTGTTTCCATCCAAAATATGTGGCCACACTCAGCAGAAACGTCAGTGATGTTCGAACTGACAAAAAAACAATGTACTTAGCACTGCAGCGGAGAGTGGAGGGAAATGATTATTCCTGACCAAAAGGGTGTACAAATATATGCCATTTGGTTATTAATTTGTCCCACAACGATCAGTGCTGGTTGACTGGCCACATTTTGTGGTTCTTGCGGCGCTTGTTATTTTTATTGTTGCGCTTGCCATTCAATGTTGTTCTATGTTGTGGCTGTTGGGGTTTTTGTTGAGTCTCTTGCAAAGTAGGTCGTAAATCTCCATCAAAAAAGTCGATTCGGTTGGGTTTTCTCTGCATACGGATACATACAGCAAGTGAGGGCTGGCAAGGCTGCAGAGGAAACCCAACGAGAGATTGAGCAAATAAATCTCGATCGCTCCACGCAAGACAAAGCAAACAAGGGACAAGGCAACAGGGGACAAGGCAACAGCGGGAAGAACACACAGAGAAATGCTAAATATTCCTGACACTGATTGCACCTCTGATGTGTCTTCTCTCTCTCTCCATCACCATCTGCATCTCCATCTGCATCTGCATCGATTGGATGTGCCACCCAAAATAGTCGAAGGAGGGAGCGGGCGGTGAGTGGTTTGTAGCGTGGAGCGTGGGTGAGGGTGAGGGTGAGGGTGGAGGGTGCCGTAAGGTGGCTAGACCCTGTGTCTAAGTGATCGCTGACAAATTTCCCTGCCCCTCTGCACGACAAAAATATCCATCCAAATATGGACGGAATACGAATACGAATACGAGACTATTTTCGTTGCCATCGCAATGAACAAACACACAAAAATGTGTCCGCCCTGCTGCTCCGATTTTTGTGGCTGGTGTGTGTGTGGAATGCTGCTTCCCTTTCAGTTCTTGCGGGCTCTTTCGGGCTCTGCTTGGTTTTCGTCCAGAACTTCAGTTCAGTTCAGTTCAGTTAGTTTGGGTATTTTCGGGGTCTTCGGACAGCTGTCGAATGCAATTTGCTTGGCTCTGCAGAATGGTGCCCATTGAAATGTTGTCTCACAGGGTCGCTTCGGTTTTGCGGGATGGGATCGTCTTGCGCATTGGTGGGAAACGTGCGCGGATTTGCTGCCAACGTAAGCGCTTTTTTTATTTTCCTCCAGTATTTGAATTTCACTTGGAAGCGAGCTGCAATTCTGGTAAAATTATGTTGCCTGGCGAAGAAGGTGGGAAGTGATTTCGGTGGCAAGCCGATGATTGAGAGTTTAGGAAAAAGATTTAAAGATCAAATCTGCTGCATGGACAGGAGATGCACTGCTTATGCCCTGCTTTGAAGGTGGGAATTATTCTCTTACAGTTTAAGGTTAGCAGTGGAATGCAACTACATATTTCAAGCAGTTCGGCCCAGGCTGTTAAACTGTCTGTTCGCTTTCCAAACATTTCTTTTGAGTCAAACACACAAAAACTTTAATTTTATATGGCAAATAAATGCATACCCAACTGTATGTACATATTTGGTTGCAATTCTGCCATGAATGTTTTTACAACTAATCATATTTCCATTTCAATTATCTGTTTGAAATAAGAAGACACAAATTGGGCAGGCTACTGATAAAAATAAAGGAAAGGCTAATTAATCCAGCTAGCACTGATGCCTTCGGTTGCTGAAGCACTGCACATAAATCTGTGTGTTTATATGCATTTGCAAGCATAACAATATTGAGCGGAATGACAGGAGACGGTGGAAAGAAGCAGTTTGGATGATGGGATGATTCTTATCTAATAACAATAGAAAATTGAGACACTTTTAAAATAACTGAGTAAACAGAACTGCGTTAATAAAGGGGGTGTGAAGGGGGGGGGGGGGTTGGCATTCAAGCAGTTCGAATTACAAAGGAAGAAGTCTGCAGGCAGCTTTTTATTATGTCCGTGAACTGATGCAGATGAGAGAGCAAGCAGCCTTACTTAAGCACTCAATTGAGAGAGCAGCACAGTATGCCATCAGCATGCAGTTCGATGGAAGCAGGCTTATCAAGCAGTGAAATAAGTGAACACAAAACTTGACTACTTTATTTATTTTGGCCAAATTTATTCATGCCAAAAATAAAAGTCGAATATTTGATGAGGCAGCCAACGAACGGTCAAAAGAGTGTGGCAGGTTCAAAGAAGCTGCTGCTGCTGCAACCGGAAACTGGCATAGCGGCTGCCAAATGGAGTTGCATTTAGAAATATGCATCATTAATTTTAATGACTGTTAATATGGTTTTAACAGGATACAGGAACTTAATAGCATTTTGTGTTCTTAATGACTCTGGCCAGCCAACGGCGGCAGCGGCGTCGGCGTCGGCGTCAGCGTCAAAAACTCATCATTAGAAAACATGGGAAAAGAGCCTGCCTCCTGCCTCCTGCCTCCTGCCTGCCCTGCCCTGCCTGCACGCCCACACTGTCATGTGGGTGGAAATGGAAGTTTTGAATGGAGATTGCTGAAAGAAGCAGCTCCACTCTTTTTGTGCATCTCATTAGTGGGAGGTATGAGATGCTGCTGCCGCTGCCGCTGCTTTGGTCTAGGCTTGGACCATTGTGCAGGCCGACTGCCAAACACGGCGCTGCAATTCCCCCCAATTATTATGCGTAACATGTTGGGTAACCCGAAACTTTGCCAGGTCTCAGTGACGCTCTGCCGCACTGCCGGACAGAAAAACGGTTGCTAGCGGCAACCACTTACCGTTTTTGGACAACTAAAAGCATTCCTTTAATGTTTAGTTAATTGAAACATACTCGTGCAACATCAGCAGCAGCAGCAGCAGCAGCAAGTAGCAGCGGCGGCAGCGGCAAAACTGCTTTTTGTTATGCCTTGATATAAAATATGGAAAAATGCAGGCATCTTGCCAGCAAAGCCGCATAAACAACAAAGCTTTTAGGCGCGTATCTCACAGATACCGATAGAGCAAGCGCACCACCCGAACACCCCTTACCCATCGCCCCTGGGTAAGGCCATGGGTATACCCATGTCCACCTCCGCTTCACATCTTCAACGGGCACTTGGTGGATGGCAGAGCGAGGCACATATACCCTTGGCGGTTTGCTGGCCCAGGGTAACAGTAAAAACCTTTCACATTCAACAATGGACAGTCCAACACTCGACTTTGCACTCGACTCGCGCATATGTATGTCCAGCGTTTGGTCTGCTGCTGCCTGCTGCTTCTGTGTCCCTTGCTGCACGTGTGTGTGTGCGCCACACCCACAGAGTGACTGAATCAAAGCGAGTGGGTGAGAGGGATAGTGGGGGTGAGCGAAGGGGGCATGCAAAAAAGTATCTCAAGTTCAAGTTCATTAGGTCTCACGGCATGTCGCACAACAGCAGCAGCAACAACAGCAACAGCAGCAACAACAAAAAGTGTTGAATAAATAAATGCCAGCCGCAATTTGTTGTAATTTATGCGCGAAACATTTTTCATTCTTCGTTTGCTTTTCTGGCAAATTTTTTGTGCAAAATTTGTGTAACAGCAGGGGGCGGGGCAGTGGCAGGGAGCAAACAGGGGCGGGGGAATGGGAGAGATCCCGCAGCAGGAAGAAAATTGCAACCATTAATTGGTCACGTTTCGAGTGTGTGGCAGCGAGTGGCAGCATTAGTAATCCACGATCCAATGATTCAGTGGCAGATCGCTAATCAAAATCATAGCCGATCATGTGGCATGCGAATATACGTATAGATATACATATTTGATTCAATGCCCCAACTCAATGCTTGCGTCATCGATTCAGAATTCAGATTCAGATTCGTTTCGATTCCGTTACGTTCCGTTCCAAGGGCGAAAGACTCGTGTTCGAGGGACTTGTGGCGCTTGGAAGCATTGGAATCGACATTGGAATTGGAATAGGGAATGAATTATGTGTTCACATTCCCTTTGTTCCATGAATTCTGTGTGGCTATGGCTGGCTTTCCCTGCTCTCAGTTATTCCACAATTAACTTCTTGATTTGCAAACATTTTTAAGCGAAATTCGTACAATTTCGATCATTTCTACTCATCATACAATTGGCATACAGAGGGGTTACCTATCTATTATCTTGCTAGCTATCTACCCATATATTTATCACACTATGTACCCTCATGTAGCTATCAATCGATGTAAATATAAATGTTTATGGCGCTCCACCGAACTATTTATCTCTCCATTTATTTATGCTCTGCTAATTTTATATCAAATTACAATTATTTTTCCCTTTAAACTATTAAAAAAGAAACTCTAAGCCAGAGCACAATTTTGGTAATCTCTCAAGCTAATTCCCTTTAGGGTTTCCTCAAAGTTTCCTCGTATGCCCTGAGCCGCTGCACTAGTGTTAGATCTCTCGATAAATTTTCCTCAATCTTCCACAGAAAAAAAACCCATCTAGGCTTTCATCTTGTTTCTTTTCTCTCAAAAATCATATCCATAATGCCGTCGGGGGGGGCAGGGCCATAAGAAAAAAATTAAGGGATATGGAAATATATTTTTAAGGATTTTCTTTTGCCCAACAATTGAATGCTGATGAAGGCCTCCGCAGCGTGGGGCCAGGGCAGGGACAGGGACAGGGGCACCCACTTGATGAGGCAGCAATGTGAGGCTGAAGGTTACAACAAATGCGTGGGTGGAAGGGGCTGAAGGTTGTGCTGTGTTGTGTTGCGTTTATTTAAAATTAAGCCAACACTTAATGTGGCACAAACACAGCAAGAGAGCCAGAGAGACTGGGAGAGAGAGTGGGAGAGTTGCTCTTTCCTGGTGCTGCTGCTGCTCCATAGACAAAAACGGAAGTGTCCAATGCTAAGGTCCGGACGGGATGGCTGCTGCCTGCCACTAAAATGGTTGTTGGGGGGGCATGAGCAAGGGCATGAGAGGCGCTCTTCATTGCTTTCATTTGTAGCGGAAATGTGTGTTAAAGTATCCTTCTTCTTCTTTGTCGCTTTGTCGCTGGTGTCGCCTCCTGTTTGCGGAAGTGTCGCCTCAGTCCGGGGTTCGGGGTTCGGGGTTCGGTGGGTTGTGGGTTTCGTGTCGCCTGCTGTGATTTTTATGCGCCCCACAACAGAAAAAAAGGAACACAACAGAACAGTTGAATTTTCCGAGCACTCCAAAAGCTGCTGCTGCTGCGCTGATGTGTGCTGCGCATGTGCGCTGATGTGTGTGTGTGTGTTTGCTGTTGCTGTTGTTGTTGTTGTTGGTTCCCCTGAAGGAAAATACTCTATAATTTTTCCCATAGTTTGAGTCCGGCTTACGCATCCGCCGTAGCAGTAGCAGCAGCAGCCGCATAGCCGATATCCGCACACCCCCACACATCCGCAATGGGTAGGCGGCTGTGGGCAGCAGCCCTGTGGCTGCTGTGCTCCCTCCTGGCCCTCGAGCGGCCCGAGAGCACCCAGGCACGTGGCTCATGGATCTCCTTTGGTAAGTTCTTGACCCTGCCCCCCTGATCCCTTGTAGTCGCAACTGAGCGATCGATTAAATCGCATCAATCTGGGCAGAGGATGGGAGAAGATGCGTGTGGATGCCCACTCGATGGCAATTCATTTCAATCGAACGCATGGCATTCGCCATTCATCCCATTTTAATTGCTCCACAAGTGACAACAATTGCCACATGGTGCAGGAATGCAGCTGCAACAGATGACGATGATGCTGACGATGATGCAGAGATTGGAAGTGCAAGTGGCTCGACTCTCGACTCGACTCTCGGACTCTCGAGTCTTGAGTCTTGAGTCTTGCGCAAATCTAGGCTAATTGTTTGTCGCTGCTGTAATAATGATGCCAGCCACCAATTAATTTGCACAAACATCTTAATTTAAGAAGAGCGTGAAGAGCCCGCACTCAACAGACTTGCAACACCACAGAGATCATAGCGTTAAGCTATAATCTAAGAATAGAATGTGGCATCATCTTGATAAGCAGATGACAAAGAATGCCCCTATCCTGCCCCGACAGCAGACTGGAGTTCCACACAGACAGCCAGTGGCAGGAAGCAATGCAGATCACATTCGATAGATGGTTAAGGGAGCCACAAAGCAGGGGGAAACTGAGGCAAACAAATGCCCAAAGAATGCATCTGCTGGGTACCTGAATATTTGCTACTTCCTCGAATACTTGAATCAAAATGGTTATCTCTTTGACAGCATATTATTCGCCATATCCAGTAATCAAAAGACTTGCTTCCGCCCTGCCCATTGTAGGGGTTCGGGCTGGGCTTTGTCATCGTGCTAACTGTTTTTTTTTGTTTCTAGGCCTCGGCCTCGGTCACGGTCAGTGGGAGAAAGATCAGAGAGAGAGAGAGAGAAGAGAGAGAGAGGGAGAGACATCGGATACACCAGGAATAGAAATAGAGAAGCAGCCAAACAATAGAGCAGAGGCACCGCCACCGCCACCGGGGGGGAAGTTGCAGTTGTAAGTGCAGCTCTGAGGAGAAATTAAAAACTGTTTGCTGTGGGGGGCCCCCAGTCAAGGGAAGGGTACTTACTACAATGTCATCCTTGACTTCATTAAACGTAACTTGATCTCAATTGAAGAAGCTGCAACCTCAGCAGGCAACCAAACAAACAAACAAACAGAGTCACGAGATAGATAGATAGATGGATGGATGGATAGACTCTGCCTATACGCGTACGCCTACGTTGAGTATTTTCTGCACTAATCGTTGCAGAAATAACTCCAAAGTCATCATCATTCAGCGTCAGTGCGCGATGAGGATCTGCAACGAGAGCCATTCGACTGCAAGTCTAGCTAATTTGTTGGACAGCCAACAGCAGTTGAGGTGGGGCCACACCACCCACTCCATTGTAGGGCATACAATGGTCGTGGTGTTTGCATTGAAAACTTTTCAATTCGGAATTTTCTTGTTTGGCTTTTGACTTTGGACTCTTTGGCTGTTTGTTGCTCCGAATTGCTGCTGCTGCTGCTGCTGCTGCTGGAGAAGAATGAATTGAGAAATGTTTATTTTTAGTACAATGTGCCACACACACACACACACAGCTGCACCCCCTTGCTGCCTGCTCTGGTGGCAGCAAGTTTTCTGGTTGCCTGCTCTAAGCGCTTCCTGAAAGCCAAACCCAAACCCAAAGCCAAAGCCAAAGCCAAACGACAAGTGAAATGTAATGAAATGAAATGAGATCTGCTGAGACTCTTGAATAAATAAATGCTAAAGGCAACAGTTTGCTGCAAAGAGAGTGAAAGAGAGGGAGAGCGAGTGAGGGGGCAGAGTGTGTGGCAAGTTGCATGTTGCTCATGCGCTGATGTAAGCGCTTGGCTACGCGAACAATTAGAAGAATACAAAAAAAAACTAAAGAAAAGAAAAGAACAGAACTGAAACGCTTTCAATGGCAATGCATTCTGTGCCTTGAAGTGCATTTTCTATTTACAGTTCGGCAAGCACTGTGTGGGCTCTCCAACTGCAGTCGGCCGCTCAGCCGCTCTCCTTTCAGCTCTTTTTTCAGGGTTAACTCTAGACATTACACTTGTCGTTCGTTCGCTTGTTTACCGTTTGGTTTTGGATTGTTTGCCTTTGCCTCGCGTTTGCGTTTGCCGTTCGCAGATTAAAGTTGTTTTTTTTTTTCTTTTTTTTGCTGGCCGAGATTCTTTTATGCATACCCTGTAGCAGCAGCCCCTCGGCGCGAAAGGAGGGTATGATCTATGCCACAGGCGCAGGGAAAGAAATAAAATTAAATGTACTGCCTCATGGCAAGGAGTGTTGTTTACTTCGGGTGCCCTTCAAAACATTCCAAATATGTGGCTTATCCATTTATTTTTCTTTATTTATTTATTTTATTATTTCATTATTTTTTTTATTTGTTTATTTATTTTTTTATTTATTTATTTATTTATTTTTTTTTTTTTATTTATTTATTTATGCGTCCATCCATTTTGAAAATTGAAATTTTTATTCCAGCCAAAAATGGCATAAAAAATGTAAATAGATTTCTCTAGCTGCTCCACTTGCCTGGAAAGGCGTTCATTAATGGGTAATCGTTAGTCGCAGTGCCATAGTCTCTCTCTCTCTGGCCCCACTCATTTGTTCTGGCTGTTCTGGCATTGTGTGCTACTGCTGCTGCTGCTGCTGTTGTTGTTGTGTTGGTGCTGGTGTCCATACACGTATGTCGGCGTGTGTACTGCTTGGGGTATCTGGGAGCGGGAGAACCCTTCACTGGCCGACGGGCGAATAGATTCTGCCTTGTAGTATGACTCGTATGTAATTTGATGCTTATGCCATTAACAAAAATGTCAAAACGTCTAAATGCCATGGGGCATGCCCCAGCATACACTCTCCCAGCCACCAGCCACCAGCCCCATGCCCATCCCTTTTTTTGGGGGTAACTCTCTGTTGCTGCTGCTGAGGGGGCACGTAATTTGCTTGTTGCTTGTTGCCTGAGAGCGGGCGGCGCGTGCGAAATGTCAGCAGAAAACTGCGTTTGCAAAAGTTTTCGCATGCTGTTTTGATTTTTCTTATTTTTTGTATTTTATTTGTGGCAATGTGAAGAGTGAAAACTGGGAAGAAAAAACTGCACAGACGGAATAGGAATTGGAATCAGGAATAGGAATCAGAAATCAGGCAAGAGGAATAAGGATCACAAGGAAGTGGAGGGGAAATGGCAATGCGAATGCGACGAATGCGATGGCGAAACATTGTCGCTGACAATGGGCAACGCGCGAAAGAAGAGTGCGGTGAAGGAGAGTGGCGCAGAGGAAGGAGATTTCGTGTTTAGCTGATTAAATACGTGACTTAATTCTTTGGCTGACAGCAGCAACAGTCTGCGCTACCAATCCCACACTCCACGCCCCCCGGGGCAATGCTACTCCACTGTATCTTAAAGATACATTTTGCCACCTCTCTCAGACTCAGACTCAGCTCAGACTCAGACTCAGCCTCAGATATGTGCATGCAAATTTATGCAGCTTGTAAGTGCAATTTGAATTATCATTTGATTGGGCCCCTCGGACTGCTCTGATCTCCGATTGACAGGCCTGACAAACACTTGGCCTTCGATCGAAGAAGTATCTGATAGATACACTGATGCCCAATGCATGCTGTTAATTGCAACAGTATCTGTATCTGTATCGCTATCTGAATAGATATCGGTGCATGCTACATATGTGAAGTGTGTCTTTATTAATTTGTGGCTCACAGTCACCATCGCCTCGCTCTTGTCATTCTATATCTATCTATTTTTATTTTATTTGCCGCTCTATGCAAATGCCAGACCAGACGCTGACAGACCTGCATGACAACGACAGCAACAGCGACAGCAAAACAGAAACAGCGACAACGGACAACGGACAACCCAGCAACAACGGCGCAGACCAGCGACAGCCGACAAAATCGACATTGGACAGCAAAAGTGAATTTACGAGCACAATGCAGATGCAGCCAACAGCTACGGCGACGGCAACAGCTACAGCTTCAGCTACAGCTACAGCTCCAGATAGAGCTCCAGAAACAGCCGTAGATACAGCCATAGATACCGCATAATGTATCTAACAGATAGGCGAGCGCGCGCGGCCTGCCATTCAACTATTCATCCATCGGAAAGGGAAACTGCGGCGGCATTTGAATTGCGAAAAAGGAAATCAATTTGCAAAACGGAAAAACAAAAGAAAAGCTTATGCGAAGAGGGTAGAGTAAAGGGTATGACCTGGTAGGGGGGGGGGTGGAGGGCTGAAACGACTATGGACATGCAGGTAAATTATGGAGCGATAGGCAGGCAAGGAGAAACAAATTTAAATCTAGAAATAAAGAGAAAGGGAGTGGGAGTGGGAGTGGGAGGGGGAGAGAGAGAGCTAGAGAAAGAAGCAGATCAAAAGATATGGCAAATCTACCAGACATGAAGAACAGATAAGAAGCACACATTGAAAGATATCTTCAGATAAAGATATTAAAAGAAATACATAGATAATGCAGCAACAGAAAACAAAAATAAGGCGATGGCATTGGGCATGCAAATGCAATAAAAGATACAAAAAGGACACACACAAAAAAAGGCAGAAGAGAAAGTTACCTCTGGGTATCTGTGTATCTGGTTGAGAGGCAGCATAAAGATATGGCAGCAAAAAGCGATAAGAACTGAAAATAGAAGAAAAATAAAAGGATATAAATGGTAAAAGGGATGAGAATAGATATTAACTGATAGATAGATAGAGATACGCAGCTGCAAAGCTACAAATAAAAGTGCAAAAAATGCGTATACGTATTGGTGTGCTGGAAAATGTCACTGATTGGAGGGAATATCATAATCGTAGAATAAAAAATGTTGTTTCCTTTTTCCCTGCCACTCCAACACCCCACACCCCACACCCCACACTCTGCTCACGCCCCACGTACTCTTAAGTCTGCACTTCAGCCACCAATTATTTATGAATCCCCCCCATCCCTCCCCCCACGCACACTGACAAGGAATGCCTTCGAGT